TAACTGGGCAGTGAAGTAGGGTTCCTCTGGAGGACTCGGGACTCCCCAGCTGGTTGAGGGCAGTGGTGTGGGAAAATAGGTCTTCACTGGCTGGTTGGTGAAAGCTGAAGGAAAAGATTTTCTAGTAGGACTAGCAGTTTATATACAACTTTTGCTAAAACAACACAATTAAATGAAAAATACAATTTAAATATAATACCATTTATAAAAGCATACAATAAGATTATTCATTCTCAATTTACACAAAATTAAAACAGAATATAGTACATAATTATACAAAAAATGGATAAAATGAAGCCGTGGACAATACAGTAAAATAGCCAGATTGTATTTGATTTTGGCCTTTGTTCTTGGTGCAAGTAATGCAAATACTCCTAGGGAGTATAGGACAGTCTCCAAGTTGTTAGAGAGAAGCCAAATAGTTTTTTCTTCAGGAGCCCAGTGTTAATAATTTTCCACTAACAGAAATCCATTTCCTCCTATTTTCTTCAAAAAAAATAAGACCACAAATAGGGTTTTAAGTCATTTTTCTCATTCTTCCCACAAGAGCATATTCTGTCCAAATGTGGTGTCCAACATCACCTGCCCATGACAACTGCAGATCTCATTAGAATGAATCCCAATCTAGTAATGGTCTCTCATTGTTTGTAGCTTTCTACTGCAGCTAAATAAGTTTCTAGGCCAAAGGAATGCTTTATTAATCTCAGAAAGGGGAAGTTTGAGAAGGTCTCACTGCCTGTGTATCTGTTTGTATTCTGGCAGCTTTAATTCTTAAATTTATGTCTTGCTTTAAATATAAGGGAAGTACTGGCTCAGTGATTCTCAGTACATTTCCCAAGCCCTTTGTCTGGAGGAGAATATAGATGTTATTTAACCATCCAAACAAGGGTTTAGTTGGAAAAATAGAGGCTTCTAAAATACACTTCTTAGGGTATCTGGTAGGCATTAAAGATCTAATGTTTAGCCAATAGTTTAGAATTCTTAATTGCCCTAACATGCTCTCATAAATCAGTCCTGTTTCAGAGCACATGAAATACATTTTCTTCTGTAAGGTCTAGAAGAGAGAACAGGCTTCTAGCTTTCTCCAGGCTGGCCCTTAAGGAGAAAGGGGATTCTTGCCTTGGAAGTACAGCAGTTTTCATTAGTAGGGAAACAGGGACACCTCTTCAATGCTGTATTGGCAGACAAGATTTTTTTTTTAACAACGTTTGTTCAAACTTTAGGCCAATGGGCCTTGATTTTTTACCTCATTTACACCTCTGTGACTCTACTGGGCTCCCTGAGTGGAAGTGAAAGAAGAATCCACTCTATCAGGTATAGATTCCCTCTGATCTAGTATCAGATCTTGGAGATATGATCCAAGCTCTGCCACGTAAGAACCCAGGATCTGGGATATACATTCACTGAAAAGCTGGAGCTACTGACTGGAGGTTGTACCCAATGTTACCAGCTCAGGCAGATGGGAGAGTCCTGTTCCCTAAGGCATACATGCCTTTCTAATATTAACCAAAGCACTCTTGGTCTGCACTGCCACAGTGTCTGTTTCACTTTCATTCCCCCACCATAGACGCATTGTACACCCTTGAGCTCCACACTGCTGCACGCATGAGGTTATGGCCAAAAGTCACAAGACAGCTATATGGGGCAGGTCCTAAATTGGAGTAGTTTAGTGCAGCTCTGTGGTGAGTTTTACAGTCACTGAGGAGCTAGCCCTGTATAGTTACAGCCTGTTATCTATTTAATGCTTGTGCTTATGTTGTATTTACAAGCCACATATTATTTATGGTTTCTAAATACTGTATTGATACCATTAATTGGATGCAGCCAGAATAAAGAACCATTCCCAGAAACTTCGCTGTGGTTCAATGCAACAGCTCTCTTCAACACCCTTGTTCCTTCAAGTCATAAAAGTTCAGCTGCTCCCTCCTATGCAGGGGTAGATAAGTAAAAGCTAAAGCAATACTTGTGATTTATGACACTATTAATAGTTTCTCAATGCCTGATATGATTAGCCTTAATACATTTTTACTCTTTTTTTCCTCTAATGCTGGCATGGAGTTCATGCTTCAGTGGAGCCAGAGAGTTTGCAGTTAGAGTTAATATTCTACTTGATGTGAGTTTGTGAATCATGTCTAGATGATTCTGAGTAGAGGCCAACAGCAGGCCCAGAGCTGAGATTTGGCAGTTAAAGACATTGGTCTTTTCAGAAGAGATGGTGGATGTAAGAGATAAAATAGCTTTTCTACATTGTGTTGATTCCCCCTTTTATTCTCTTACTTTGATGCTTTCACTGTGCTTGTAGGCAAGCCCTTCTCTTATCAGTGGGAATGAACAAACTGTCAGTAATATGCTTGCATTTTCTAGAGCTGTGCAAATAATGGATTTTTCAGTCTGCTGTCCAAACCAAACACTTGGAATCCATTTTTGCTTTTAGTTAACTGTAAAGAGAATTTTTTTCATGGTACTGAATGAAAAATTTAATTGTGGGGTTAGTTAAACTCCTTTTTAAAATCTTAAAAATACTGGGTCACTTTCAAAACAAAAATGTCATTTTGAAACAAAGTTGAAAGTTATCACGTTGAAATACTCAGCATAAATCATTTAAGCATTTCTGAGAATTTTTCCTCTGTTCAGTCAAAACTATTTAGAAAATTCAACCCAAATTTGTGAATAGTTTTGGTGGACCCTGAACTGCATTTGTCATTGAATATGCTTTTCACCAAAAAAAGTATTGCTCAGCTCTATTCAACAGGATTCTATATTTACTCTCTGCTTTGCTGCAGAGATACCAGAATACTTAGTGGGTGCATCTACATGTGCTAGTTATGCACCTGAATAAACTCCAGTGCAGTTTGTGCCAGAGTGTTTTGCTCCTGGGTGCAGTGTTTACACATGCACCCAGGACTGCAACACGCTGAGCTGGGTCAGAGCAACCTCAGCTGGCAGGGAGCCCAGGGAGTCAGCCTGACAACCCAGGGCTGCTCCACCCCTTCTCAACATGCTGTGGAGGGGCTGGCTAGGGCATGAGGGTACTCTAATGTGGGGGTAGCCAGCAGACAGCCCCCTGCACTGTAGCACCCTCATTTCCCCCAGCCAGCCCGTTACCATCTACACGTACATTGTGGCACGTTAAATAACTCTGCCATAGGATAGTACTTGTGTTGGGCAGTACTATACTGCAGTGGAGTTAGTTAATTTACTGCAGCCCAATAGCACTGCACGTGTAGATGGTGACACTTTACTGGAGAGCTAATTAGTCAACTGCAGTAGAATGCACATGTAGATGCCTGCAGTATCTAATACTTAGGATCCAGTGGTGTTGTCCTGACATCTAAGTACTGAATAGGTATTGTTCTGCTATGGTAATGTTATGGTAATGTTATGTGGTAACTGTGGTCCATAATCTTCCTTTCCCCTAGGGCTGTATCAAAGTAACAGCTTTAAAACTAGTATAACTCCAAAGGACTGCATCAGCACAGGATCTAGTTCAAAGACTTTTTGTCAGGACCTGCCTCAGTCAAAGTCTTGCACTTTCTCTGCACACATGCATGCACTCTCACTTTCTCAATCTGTTGTCTCTGCTCCCTTCCTTCTCCACTCATCTGGCAGGGGCTTCTCTCTCCGCTCAGTCTGCAATCTTCCTAAAACAAAAGACTGCTTTTCTCTATGGGTCCTGCTGTTTAGAACAAAATTCCTTTGTATCTTCAGCTCCTCTCTGCCTCACTGACTTTGTAATTTTCTGAGAGACTTTTTCTTTATTATAGCTCTATAATGTCTCAGTGCTTCTAGCTATATCTGGATATCGTAGCAACTAGCTGTAAGGAAAAACTAGAAATAACATGTTCACTCCTTTCTACCCTGGTATAATAAGGAAAATATAAGTCTGTGCCTCCATGTGCTATTAATTATCTTGCATAAAGTAAGTTTATGGGTAATCAATATAGGTCAATGGACAATAAATATTTCAAACTCAGAGCCATTAAAATAACAGCATAATACCAGAGCAGATAGTAAATCACTTGGGTTATTAACTTTAGCTCAAAAACACATCATTGCACCATATCTAGGGACCCCTAAATAGCATCAGTACATCTCTGTATTAAAGGAACGTGGTTTCTGGTCCTGGTCTGGAAAGAGTGAATTCAGAACCTATGGATATAATAGCATAGGATTTCACTGCCTGAGACAAAGGTCACAACCATTAGTTTGAAATCAGCAGCAAATTTCACAAACCTTTATATTGACTAGTTACAATAGAAGCCAAAGAGTCATATGATTCAAGTTAACTTAGTAGTCCCCCAGGTTCCCAGGATGCTTTGCACCTCCCCCTCCTCCCCACTTCCAGGGTGGGCAGGCTAGCTGTGGCCCAAGCTGTCTGCTCCAGCTGAGCAGGAAGGCATGCTCTAGTGCCCCCTCCCCCCTGGCTTTTGGCCTGAGCCACTGTAGGCGTGTTGCTTCATTTCTGGAATCCAAAGTTAATGTCTGGTCACTTGCTTATCAGTTCAACCTTTGCAGCTTAGACCAACCTATGAAGATTGAATTGATTCGGGCTCAGGCTTTTTGACTGTCTATATTTAAGTACTGTGTTACTGTGATTATTTTATTTTGGAGTTTTGCTACTCAAATTTTCTATGCACATGGTCAATACTTAAAAAAAGGAATTATACTAAAATGTTTAGAATTTGATTCACTGCCCAAAAAGAATTGTCTGCAACATCAGCTCAAAAAGCCCATCCAATAATCCTTCCAGCAGCTTCCCTCTCATTGATATGAAGGCCCACTTGTTCAAGCACCCACCAAATTCCTACCATCTTGATAATCTTTAAGGTTAAAACCAGCAGCTAAGCTTTCTCTCAAAACCCTGTCCCCTCCTACTTTCTCCCCCCCAGACAACCCCATACAGACTGAACACAGCTTGACACTCTCCTTCAGTGGATATCTGCATGCAGGTTTTGAAGCTTGGCAATTACAGTTCCAAATCTGTTTTTGTTATTCCTCAGAAAGAACTGTGGGAAGCTTGCTGGTAGCTCTTTGATGCTGTGTGCGAAATATGGACCTTCATGAAAACTGGAAACTGGATGGAATCAACTGGCTGGCTCATGATGGGACTCTTCCCTTTGCCAGTGCAAAAGGAGGTACAGTAACCGTGCGGCTTTCAGTCAACAGAGTGAACACTCAGGGTAACCCCAGCTTCTGCCACACTCACTCACAGACAGGAGCTCCTTATCCTCTGAGTAATCTCACTGGCTTCATCAGGGCAACTTTTGGAGTGAGGCGCCCCTTGATGTAAGGATGGGGGAATACGGAGTGAGCCACCTTAGTGCCTGGCTCTTTGCTGACAGACAGAGCTCGTATGTTAGATTCTTTTTTAGGCTTGTCTTCATTACTTAGGGGGACTAATTACAAATGATCATCCTTTCAGGGATTCATTCCTCTGGGGCTCTGCCTGTTGGATTTGATCACCATGATCCTCTCCTAAAAAAAAAAAAAGAGCTTTGCAAGAAGCAGTGGGTCACTAGAGGGCTGGAAGTGCCCAAGTGGACACATCTTTATTCAGTGACATGCTTGGGTGAGGACTTTGGACAGAGTAACTCCTGGAAGGGGAGTGAGGGGCAGAGGAGGCAGTCCTTTCTACTTGTTCTATCCAGAGCCCCTCAACTTTCCCAGGGTGTGATCAGTCCACCCAAACTAAGGCTGTGGGAGCTCTCCTCTACTGGAGCTCCCCACACCCAAGTTCTTAGTTGTGCTGCTACCCCAGAGCTGCTGGTTAGTCTCATAAAAGCTCTCCAAGGTGTTGCAGTGGGAAACAGGAAAGGGGGTTATTCCTAGACCCCAGGGTACAGCCCTTCTGGGTCATGGCAACACCAATGGTTTAGAAATGTGCTTTTTTTCCACATTGCTCCATTCTAGGTCACTCCAAATCATGTAAAGCAGCAACCTGAACCTCCAATTCCCACATCCCAGGTCATGACACAACACACTCCACACCAGAGGCAGCCTGTCTGTCTCTTTCACTCTGCACCCTGGATCTAAATTACCTTCCAGATGGCAGTTTCTGAAATGTTTTGCTTTGGTAAAAATATTCCACCCAGCTCCATTGATTTCTCTGTATTGCTAGCGCTGGCTAGCCTTGGCACCTATTACAGGGAAAGGGAACAGGCCAGGATATGGTACAGACTCTCGTCCCACAAATTATTTTAAGTTGTTAGAGTTGGCCCTGTAGTTCAAGCTGCCTAGTTTTGTGTACCTGACCCAACTGGCTGTTTGTTCAGTCCATCCTGATAAGAATCACCCAAGTGCCATTCTAGCAGGAAAGTTACTCTTAAACTATTCAGTAGCATCTAGATGTGAGGCATTACTGTGTTGTTATGCTGAAGCTAAGGCTATTTTTTCCCTGCTTATCAAGATTAGGCAGTGCTTCACCTAAATTGTTTCCACCCAAATCCTAAACTCATTGTTTCATAGTTGGGATGGGCTGTTCAAGGGCAGTATAGGGTCCTCTGCTCATGCTCCACCTGAATGAGCTAGATTGTGGATCTAACATATTTGCACAAAAATGTCATGGATTTTCCTCATGCAGTTCAGGAGTTTAGGGGGGGAAGAAGCCAAATGTACAGCCCAAATCATTTGCTCGTTTGTCTGAAGGGGAGTAGCACATGACTAGATAAGCTAAGATAGGACTAAAGTGTTCCTGGAGCATCTGCTTCCTATCCATCTTGAAAATCTAGAAGGAAAAAATTGTATGTGGTCTGTCTCTCATGAAGGTGAAAGGGCCTCCTCAGCTTAGCAGCTAATATGGTCAGCACAGTTACAGCATGCCGATGTCTGTGCTCAGCACCCAAGTGTAACTGGGAGGGACAGCCAACTGGGGCAGCAACAAGTGCTGTCCTGTGCATCACTGCTCCCCAGAATAAAAAGCTGCCCTGCCACACCTCAGCCAACCACACACAATACAGTGATGTGGCTAACATTATGCTCATCTGCATACAACTCTCTAGGCCAAATGACCTTGCTCTGACACCACCATAGCTTTCTTTTTCACTGCATTAACCTAAATTTATTTGGACACTGACCACATGTGTAGGTCTGTGTTATTGTTTCATATTTATATTTTGGCAGTGCCCAGACCTCCTGTTGGGATTATGCCCTTGGCATACTTGGGTCTGTACAGATGACAGGGTCCTGTTCCTCCAGAGTTTGCAATTTAAGAAGCAAAGTAACCTGGAAAGCCAGGGAAGATGGGGACAATCAAATGTGCAGAATGGTTAGAGACATGTATCTGTTTGTATGCACATGGGTGCATGTGTCTCCATATTTTTGCTCTGCAGGTAGGTAACTGCATTACATCTGATAGGGAAAAATCACAAACTTTGTATCCCCAGAAATGCTGCTGCATTTGTGGAGTCTTGAAGATGTTGAAAAGTTCACGATTGATTTATTTTTTATAAAATAAAAAATGTGCACCAGTTTTACAATTCACAATGACTCAACAGCTCCTCCACCCCCCTGTGACTAGTGCCTACACCTTGAACCTGGTGGAGTTTCTGCAGGCATCAGAGCAGAGTCCTGATTTCAGCTGGGGTCAGGATAGGGACAAGGGGATTGTGGGTAAGGTGTTGCCTTGGGATACAAGAGATTTGCATTAATTTCCCACCTCTGCCTTCAACTTGCCACATGCCTCTAGGCAAGTCTCTACACTCTTCTGTGCCTCAGTCTCCCCAGTTGTAAATGGGCTTCCTAACATCATCCTGCCTCCCAGTGGAAGTTGTGAAGATTGTTTCATTCATGGGCATGAGGTGACACAATCCCATGATAACAGAAGGTGCATGGATTTCAAGGCTTGCCTAGAGACTAGTAGAGGAGTAACACTGATTGTATCACCTGTGAATATTCACCGAGTTAAAGGAGCACCAGTGTCAGGCAGCTGAAAGTCTTTCTCCGTCTGCTCTTCAGGAGGGGGAGAGCCGGGCAGTAATATTTTCCCTTCTGGCCAGTGGCTGAAATCAGCCCTGGCTACATTCTGCCTGTTTGACAGACAAGGTTTCAATATCAGGCAGATCAGATGCAGTCAAGTGAAGGACTAGGAGTCTTTTTGGGTTATTTAATCTCTTGTGGGAGGATCTGGCCATTCCCTAGCTTTTGAATAATACAAAGCAAAACAGAAACCCCAAAATACCCTCCTAAGAGTGGGAGAGCTGATGCTGAATGCATTTGCAGAGCATGCCTGCTGCAGTTGCCTAGCGACCAGTGGGGAGGCAGACTGGGTGGCAATGAGGGGCTCCTCTTAGCATAGGGAGGTATTTGCGCTGTCAGGTGGGTGCGGGCTCAGTGTGCTCATCTCTGTTCCGGCTAACGATGCTTTTGGCCGAAGTTTGGGTGCAGAACAAGCAAAAGAGGAGATGGGAGACACAGTTTTTCTGAAAAGTCCGGGGACCGCAGCAGAAAAAGAGGTCAGAGTTGTGTGTGTGCAGACTGGGAATCCCATGAAGGATGAGGATGGTGCAGTGCAGCCCTCTGGGACTGTGCCAATGGAAAGTTTCTGGGGGCTGGAAGGATGATGAGGTTTCCCTCTGCAGCAAGAAAATGCACTGGTTTCATTGCTGAATTGACCAAAAGTTTCTCTGCCAATTGCTAATTTTCCAAATAGACATGCTAAAATAAACCATGCCTGGGAGGAACGTGGGACAAGCTCCCCTCTGCAGTGGTACTGAAAGTAGGTTTAATACTCAAACTGTATGCACCTATGAATCCAGTTGATTTTTCCGGGCATTTATTCTTCTCCCTCCAGGCAATGAGGTTTCTGAAGGTACTCCAATTCTGTTCAGTCTGGATCAGTTGGGTAAGTCCATGTCGAGCATATTTTCCTATTTCTTTTTCTTCTCTGCATCCTGTCAGGTAATTACAAAGCGATTGCTTAGATTAAAAAAAAAAAAAAAGGAGCAGCTACTGAGTGTGGTCTGCTGCATTCATGCATAATTTCTTGCTTTTTCCTGTCTTGTTTTTGAATATGCAGAGCAGAGAGATAGACACAGCTGGATATCAGGAGATTGTATTTAGTTATCTTCTGAGTTACATTTGCTTAGGAATTTTTCTTTGCAACAAGAGCTTGCATCTCCCTGTTGCAGGTGTGACAGCTTTCCTGAATATAGCTTTAAATTTAACCCATGCCTGTCACTGGAACTATTGTGATCTGAAGGTGGGAAATCCTACAAGGATTTCCCAAAACTTGTGTCCTCTAGCAGTTCAAGCCGAGGGCTAGGAGATGGGACTGAATGTATGTGAAGCATAAGTGAAGAGTCCAGCTCATAGGTAGAACTCAGCAGTTCACTTCCTGCGTTACTATGAGTTTGACAAGCTCAGAGGTTCAAGAGAAACAGACTAAAGCACAGTCAGAGCTCAAGACCTTGTTCACAACTTCAAGTGGGGCCTAAGAGAGGGTGGCTGGCAGCTGAGAGCTTGCCATCTGAGTAATCTTGTTCTATCTTGTAGTTACCCCCGCCCCCCCCCCCCCTTCAGACTTCAGGGACTGCTATCTAGCTTTTCATCCTACCACTAATTTCAGAGAGTGTGTAGCCAAGTTAAAGCGACTCCCTTGGAAGGCCACAGAGGGTCTCTGGGAGGCTGGATGTACTGCATGTACCATAAATCTTCATCAGGGAGCAGCAAATAGACTGTCGCAGACAGCTTCACTCAGCTGGGCTGAGACACAGCCCGGAATCTTTTCCCCCTTGGGTTCTTCAGCACCTCTGAGCTAGAAGACAAACATCTGCAATCTCTAAGTAGTTTATTACAGGACCCTTAGGCCATAAAGCGATGGAGGCTTTCTTAGTCCAGAGTTCTGCAGGACCTAGTGCAAAGCAATCTGTTTCTCAGCCATTGTTGGATGTGGTCTGCTGAGATGGGAGTGAGAGCATGGCATGCTATATGCTCAGTCCAGGAGGCCCATGTCATCAGCTTCAGTGGAACCAGCTGAAGATACTGGTTATCTGGCCCCCTGAGGAGCAGAGAAAGGGCATGCAGGCACAGTGCTGGTGGGGAGGTCATGCTGCCAAGAGAGGGAGAGGAAAGAGAAGCAGATTTCAGGGATGGCTCAAGAGTAGGAAAGGCCAGAGGCATTGTCTGCAGTGAAGTACAATGTGCAGGTAGGAAGATAGAACTGGCTCAAATGTTGCGTATCGGAGGGGCAAGGGCTTGTTCTCAGAAATGCTGACTGAGTACACTCAACTTGGATAGCCCGGGCTGGCCTCCATGGGCACATTGAGAATCCTGCTTCATTGCCCCTGAGAAGGAGAGGAGGCTTTGCAGGTTGTAGGCTGTCACCATGGGAGAAGATAGTGAGACATGAGCTGCAGCTCAGTGTGGGGCACCTCAGGAAAGGACACTTTCTTTTTCCATTTAACCTGTGGCACCTGTGCTCCTAAAACAATGGTTTTCCCTCTGACCTTCAAACCAAAGCTATCCTAAAGAGGAATGGTTGTTTTAGGTGCAAGCCCCATAATTTTCATCAGCGTATGGCACTAAAGCTTCCGGGGCAGTTCTAGGCAATAGAGAGCAAATCTGTCATAGGCTAGGAATTTCTCTCATAGGCTAGCAATAGACATTAAAAAAGGCTGAGCCTGAATTGATTCAATTTTTGTAGGTTAGTCTAACGTGCTTAGGCTGAGTGAGTTTGTAACCACACAGACATCCCCTCTGGACCAGAAAAATTCAGGCACATGCCTGCATTGGCTCAGGCTAGAAGCTTGGGCGTGCTAGAGCAGCCCCCCCTCCCTTCCTCAGTGCTGAGCTGAGGGGGGTGTGACCAGGATGCTCTGATTAGGGAAAGGCTCCCCTCCTCATGATCACCCCAGCAGGAAGCTGATAACATGGTGTTTATCACCCCTAACTCAGTGTTCATCAGCCCATTAAGAAAAGAGAGGGACATTACCAGCTACCTGTTGGTTCTGCCTTTCTCTTACAGCATGTACTATAGCCAGCATGTGGCCTGCTAGCTAATGCTGGGAGGTTTCTGTGCAAGGCAGAGGGGAGAGGTGAGGGGAGGGGAGGGAAGGTGGGGGGAACAGGGGAAAGCCAAGTAGACACCTGTAGTCTCTGCCAGAGCTCCAGCCAGGGAGCAGAGGGGAGGGGCCAGCCCTGCTGTGGAGCACAGAGCCCCACCCAGAAAGCATGCCAGGGTGCTGGGGAAGTCTGGTTTAACTTAACCAGGGAGGGAACATTGCATAAACCGGGTTGACCCAAATCAGTTAAGTCTGATACTACATTCAACCAGCTTTACCTCAAACGGGTTTCAGCTGTTTTCAAACTGGTTTATGTGCACTGAATATCTGGTCTGTTACAGGTTTAAAACAATTTGTGTAATGTCTGTCCCTAGCCATAAAGCCTGAATGATGAAAGAATCACATAAAAGAAGGTGATCAGGGTTAATCCTTAAGTATTACACAAGAACCACATTTGTTTCCTGTGCTTTCCAAAGTTCTGCTTAGCTGGAACCAAAGAAAGACTCTTCTCTGATTAAGAGAAGTGGGAGACTAGTGATCTTTTAAAAATGATTATATCTGACCATGAGGTGGAGCATCTTGTCCCATAGACAAGAGGGGCAAGGGCTTGTTCTGACTGTATCCATAAAGCATGTATTTTCTTAAACTAGAACATAATACTTGTCTCCCACATCCAGAAATGAACAGCTCGGGACAGTCTTTTTACCTATTTCACCCAGTTCACCTGACCATGTGTATAACATGGCAAGGGGAGGCGGGGAAATGTCTAGCTTACCTTTAACTGAAGCATGAGATTTGAATATTACTGCAAACCCAATCTCCTTTTTCTGAAATAGTGGATTTCTCATATGAAAACTGAACTTACAGCCTGGAATAACACCAGCACTGGAGGATAAAACACAAGGTTGTCCATAAATAGAAGTAAAGAACATTCATTTTAGCATGTGCATGTCTGTACTGTAAATCTAATACTGGGAATCTGGGTTTCTTAACGCAGTGACTAAACACAAGCTATATTATTGCTAGCTGGTTAAGGGTGGTGGTGGACAGTAGCAGTTATTTTCATTGATAAAGATTCTTCCATGCAACTGACAGGATCTTAGGGAAGCTCTATGGGGCAAGAGTCTGGACGACTATCAAGGTCTCTTCAGTCTACAAAACTAGGCTCACCCATAGCTTTGTAGGAATCCTGAGGGAGGGCTGTGGCATTACCATGCTGCTCTGGAAGTAGATTAGCAGCTAGCTTGTGCCACAGGATAATCTTTCCTTGCTCCATTTCTGCTCTAAAGAGGAAATAATCTGCATCAGCCCTATACAATTCCCTTCCTCTTGTGTGCTGGTACAGTCGAGCTGGCCGGAACATTGTGGGGGCTCCCACACAAACCCTGCTTCACACCTGCCTGTTTTCTGCCCACTTGTGTGGAAAGGGAAGTAGCAGCTCTCTGGAGACTGCTTTTCCCTGTGTGGGTGCATTAGACATCCCACAGTCTGGACTTCAGGATAGCAATGATTATTAAAAATAGATTTGGAAGCATTTTGCATAGCCCCTGTGGCTTCCAAACATAAAGCAAATCATCATGTTCCAAGCTAAGATAGTCAGGTCCAACAAAGAATATGGGATAGCCGTGCAGAAAGGAAAGAACAAAACAAGATCAGTGCTTAGAAGAAGAAATGCATTTTTAGCAACAAGGCGGGGGTGGGGGGTGGGGTGTAGGTATGTGTATATGAGAGAAAAACACAGGTCCTTATGGCTAGGAAGTGAGTGACTATTCCAAGTGTAGGGGGGTGTGCTTTCATGAGATTTCTGGTCTTTCCTAAGTTCATCTAGTTCAAGGGTGTCAAACTCACTCTGGGCCAGTTCTGGACCAAGGAGGTCCTTGTGGGCTGGATCAGTGGCAGGGCAGGTGGCAGCACTGTGTGCAGCATTGTCAGCACACCCACTGCTGCTCTCTCTGCTGCCAAAGGCTGCCCTCAATAGGGCCCCAGAGCTGGACACAGACATGGGCAAACTGGGGGGGTCGCCTGGGTCCCAGACAGAAAGGGGGCCCGAAGATGAATGATTTTTTGTTTTGTTTTTTTGCAACAAAAAATCATTATCTCTGGCAAAGCGGGGCCCGGTACTAAAAGTTTGTCTGTGGCTGCCAGGAGTCTAGGTGCGGCACTGTCTGGCCACTCACTCACCCTGCCACAAATTTGTGACCCCCTGGTAGCTCCTGATCCTGCTTGAAATATCATAAGAATTATTATGTTATTTTGCTACTTTGGCTTCCAACATGAAACAGCAGTGGAAGAAAGTTTAATCATTTGGTTTTTCAAGCTTTGTGAAAGGCTTACTTTGCATGACCAGTTCTTTCATTCCTAGTAGTTGCCAACAGGCCACATAATAGTAAAAGAAAGTTGCCAACAGGCATGACAAGGAGCACCTCCTTTCAGCCGTTACCAAACAAAATGGGAGCTAAGGGTAATGAACCGCGTTGGGAAGTGCTCAGCATCTGGCAGGATTGGATCCTTGGAATGCTTCTACAAGCAGCTGTTTCCTTTCTCCAAGTAAAATTACTGTGATAAGCAAACTCTGGAGACATCCTTTTCTTATGGATGTATGACAACTAGGCAGAAGTAAACTCCTTTTCTTTCTTTTCATTCATTTGTCCCTTCTCTCCCATAGTTCAGTTACAGGTTTTTGAGTGTATGGATCAGCTGGTGATTGTTGGGTTCCTTTCTTCCCTGAATGAGAAAACGGAAAATCTGAAAATTTCACACTTCATTGTTACCTAACAGAATGATATTGGACTGACTCCTGGGTGAATTGCAAGATGGACTTGTTGGCTTAAGAAAAAAGGGA